GCCGAGGGCGAGGCGCGGTGACTTTCGTGGCGGGAACTCGCGTATATGTTTTTGTCCTAGTTGTCAGTCGATTTCAAAAGTTTCAAACGCTAATTTTAAAATATCGAAACTATAGTTTCCTTTAATGGAGTAAAATGATGCATTCGCGTTCAGCGAGGGACAAACACTGATACCTTTCTCCTTTACCTTCATTGACGACTATTGTAATAAACACTACAACACGAAGAACATAAACTTAAATGTGAATGTAAAAACTACAAGTTTCACATTTCGACTACTTTAAAATATGAAATTCGATATATTTTTCTACTGTTACTAACTGTTATTATTAAATCACTTTTTATACCGGGAGCTGAATGCATTTGAAATCCATATATATATAATTTTTGATGTTTAATACACACGTATTTTGGTAAAACGTGAGTGTCGTGCGCCGCCGCCGCCGCCGCCGCATTCATCGTGTATTTCTATTTTACTTCAATACTTTCGGTAAACTGTAAATAAGTAATGTCCAGTGATAATAATTAAATCGTAGATATATGAAGCAGGTGCAGCGACGCGGTGACGTCATGTCGCATCTCAATATCATACATATTTTTATATTTGTATTTTTCCACAAATCAATTTAGAATAGAAACATGTAAATACTACATTTGCACTGTTAGTTGTAGATGTTGTCTAAAGTGCAGTTATGATTCAACTATAAGTTACATTGCTGTAACTGGAGTTAATCATTTTAATATACTGAAAATGAGATAGATGTTCTTACAAACTGTTGAATAAAGCTCGGCATGTACATTTGTTGTTGGCTGCAGTTTGCATTGACTGCCACGAGACACACGACACACGACACACGACACACTTGTACTTACACTTAAGTTTAGGTTAATCTCATTATTTGAACTCTACATGTTTTTGACAACTTGCCTTATTTAAATTTAGTAATGTAATTCTAACAAATAAATAAGTAAATTTATTCAAGACTAGTCAAAATAAACAATTTAACATTATCATTGTTTTATTATCCTCACCATCAGGAATTATTATACAGGTGATTGAAGGATGTGTTGTGTGCTTTGTGGAGTTAGAGGACATCAATTTTCTATTGCTTTAAAGTTATTTAATTTTTTGTTATGAAATTGTAAAAACTAAAATTTTCCCATACATCCAAAATAATGTTTTTTTTTTTAAAAGAAGCCTACTAATTGTTTTTTCTTAAAGATGGCCCTTTTTTGATTGACTTTAATGGGAACGAAATAATAAAACAATCATTTTGATTGGAACATTTGGCTTATTCAAGAAAAAAAAAGTGTGAAGATCTTTGAAACGATTAACTCTATATTTATACACTTGAATATAATGATTTTTTTTTTAATAAAGGATGGCAATATTGACAGTACAGTAGATGAAGATTTACAGTGAACTGCAACATGTTTAATTTTACTACAATACTTCTGTATGGGAGTATTGTGTAGACCATAGAAATAACAAAATAACATAAATAAACATATTTTTAAATTTAATTGATCCAGAATTATTTTTTCTTAAAGAATAAACAAAATATGATGCAATTAAACAATATATAATAACATAAGCTTAATAGTTTTATTTTAACCAATAAAGTTTACAACCACTATGTGCAGTACAAGATGGGCGAAGATAAAATCGGCAAATCCGCGCTCCGCACTCAAACCCTGAAATTCGTTCTTGTTCTCCGGATTTACTTGCAGACGTAGACAAACTGAAATCAACACTTGCGTTACTTTTGTTATACCAAACACAAAGACTCATGAACAAAAAGTTTACTTACCGCCAAGAACAAATGAGCTAACTGTAGAAATAAATCCACTTAAGAATGAATTGAAAGGGAATGTTCCGACGAGGCAGCAATACACGAATTGTATTACAGCTGTTAAAAATATGTAAAATAGATAGGCATCAATAATCTTTAGTTTCTTGGATGTTTTAGTTGTATACTCCTGATAGAGTTTAGGTATTACAGATGTAAGAGAAGACATTTTTCTAGTGCTTTATGTCGACCGGCTTTTATAAAACAAAGCAAAAGCGTGATGCGATATGTCAAAGTCAATTGATTACGTGGTTAACAAAGATAATATAAACTAACGCCTGGTGTACATTCAGCAACACTGAGCATGACTGGCGGAACGCACTACTTATGGGTCAGTCCAGCCGTTTCGCTTCACCTGGCGTAATGTGAACGGTTCGTCTTACGTCCAGTCCAGGCAAGTCCATCGACTTTGGATTCGTTTTATTCTCCTTGAAAATACTCGATTTTCGTTGACATGAAAATGCAACTCAAAAAATCAGTTCGGACAAATCTCGAATTTAAAAAGTTAAAATAAAAATAATGAAAAAAAGACCCTTTTATTAAAAAAAAAAGTTGTTTGTTATAGCTATTATTGTTTTAACAAACTTTTATTTTTTTGTAGCTATTAGGAACTCATTGTCACTATAGCTTTGACGACTAGAAAAAAGACAAAATGTGTACAACACCAATACAGTTCTTGCCACGTTGACTGGACTGACCCATTGTACTGGCTGAATGTGCACCTGGCATGAAGTTTATTTATGGTACACCATAGCCTACCGTCTAAAATAACTTGGATTATACACAAAAACAAACTAGATATAGTAAACTAGGTTCTCTAAAAGGCTTATTTTAAGCTATCATCAGTTGCAGTCAATGCGAATACCAGGAAATTGTTATAAAATGCTAATAAGGCAGGTATTACCGATGTATGCTTGGGCTAATATATTGATCTGACAACACTTATAAATGTCATACTCACACAAAATTGTCAATTGTCAAATCTAAAAACTGAAGAGAATTTTGCATGTCATTCGTCAGACGCTTTTTATTACAATATACGGTACATATTTTTGTTCATAGCTGTTAGTCCTGCTTTAGAACTTTCAAAATGTTGAGTGTTAATAATAACTTTCCTGAGTATGCACTCCCTGGGGCTAAACAGGTAAGGTTCGAACCGTACGCAGACAACGGCGGCAGCGTCGTAGCCATCGCCGGTGATGATTACGCTGTAATTGGCGCGGATACACGCCTAAGTACCGGCTTCTCCATTTATACCAGGGAACAGAAAAAGCTGTTTAAACTATCGGAGCGCACGGTGCTCGGCGCGACGGGATGCTGGTGCGACACGCTCACGCTAACGCGGCTGTTGCAAGCGCGGATGCAGATGTACGAACATGAACACAACAAAGCCATGACGACGCCTGCCGTGGCGCAAATGCTCTCCACGATGTTGTATTATAAGCGATTTTTTCCTTATTATGTTTCAAACATTCTGGCGGGACTGGATGCAGATGGAAAAGGCTGTATCTATAGCTATGACCCAATCGGCCACTGTGAACGCTCCACGTACCGCGCTGGGGGATCCGCTGGCGCTCAACTGCAGCCGCTTCTCGACAATCAAATAGGACTAAAGAATATGCAGAATGTGACCGAAGCTCCCGTCCCTAAAGAGAAAGCCCTCGCGCTGCTGAAAGACGTATTCATCAGTGCAGCAGAGCGAGATATTTATACCGGAGATTGTATCTACATTATAATCATAACAGCAAATGGAATACAAGAGGAGAAATTTGAATTACGTAAAGATTAAAGTGTTGTTAAATGTATTTAATTAAAACTTTCGAGAATATTTTAGTTTTCATTTCAGTACAATCCAAAACTTCATTGTAATGAGATTGTAGCTAATTATTTTTCTTTTTCATAAGTCAATGTTGCATGTATGCAATGGCAACAAACACATATTGTAAATAAAAGCTTTAATAAAAATCTGTTGCTCTGACTGATTTTCACATAACTGTGTTGCTGAGTTGTGACCATTAAATGTTATATTCCAAATTGGGTAGGAAATAAGCATCCACAACTGCAATGTGCTGATAGCACTGTAAATGCAACAAGCTTGCATGAAATAAGGCTTCTGGATTCATTTATACAAGTATTAATATCAAAAGTAAAACAAATAACTGAATTTATTGTTAAAATAATTACAAGATAACTATAACATAATTATAGATTTTGTTCATAGCTATTTACAATTCTATTAAAATTGAAGTACCAACAATGAAATACAATTTATTTATTGTACTTAGGCATAACAAATATATTGTGTGGAAATTTCTTTTCAAACATCTCTTTAACAACTTCCTGGTTGCCAGCTTCATCCAAAATAGTGGCTTTTAACATTGGCGGTGTGGTGTTTCCAGTCACAAGGGGTTGTATGTTATAACAAAGTTCAACTTTATCTTGCGGAGGCACTGTCACCATAAGTCTTTTGTATCCTGAGAACATATAGGCATCTGTTCCCTCGACAGTGAGACAGAGCCTTATTGGTATATTTGTGTTACCAAATAATGTGCATTTCAATGGAATGGAAGTTTGTAGCTCAACAATTTCTGGATAATTAACTTGTAATGATATAGGACACTCATCAACTGGTATGCCGGATAGAGCAGTAGTACTTCGCACACAATGTCCCTGGATGTTACTTCTCCTCCAGGTTATGTTGTAGAGGCCTACTCGAGTCGGTGGGTCTTTAGGTTTGTACTTTGCTTGGACACAAATAGCATCTGATGCTACATTTTTTTCTGCTACTTCCAAATTAGATACACAAGATGGAGGCTTACTGTCATCTCCATAATCAAAACAAGCTGATACTTCCAATTCGGTGTCAACAATGAGCAAGTCCCATGGACTTAGTATTTTGATTTGTGGCATCACAACAAATGTATCATTTACAAAGCATTTACTTATCGGTTTGAAATTCATACCAACAAATTGAGTTGTCACCTCAAAAGGTTTTATCACTGACACTTTGGTTGTAAACTCTTTGACACACTCCAGCTTTGGCATTGCAGGTAGATCAATAATATAAACTACTCTTATTTCAACTGTAATATTTGTTGTCCTGTTAGATTTTAAATAAAATTTGTTTGAATATGCTGAATCTTTGTTTATAGTGCCTGCTGAAATTTTTAATGGCTGCCCCTGTGACTGTCCAGGTTTCCAACTTAATTCTGTTACTGAATCTGGATTTTGGTTATCCGGAGTGCTTAGAAGGGATACAGTAATGATCATGTCATTTACTTCAGACTGTTCATTGTTCACCACAGTGAATGATGTAGGAAACCATTCACCCTGCAGGGCGGGACACGCATTTGTTACGTCCAATGAAAGCCTGCACTCCCTGGCCGTGATGGAAGCTATTGTGCATGGCACAATGCAATCAAATTCATAGTCAGCTTTTGGACTCAAAATAAAATGTAATAATTCTGGATGCACAGCAGTTTCTACAGTCTTAGTGTCCTCAACTTTGAAGTTCATTACAATTTTTCGTCTCCTATCTGAATCAAGGACAAAAGAAACACTTTTTATGTTCAAGTCTGTACCGCTATCATTAGGGTTAGTTTTAAATTGACAAAGAAATTTTCTAACTTTTCCGCCCACTAAAGAGATAATGTTATTTCCATTGTCAGATATAGGAATTTCAATTGTCTCTGTTTTACTGGATATTGTTAAAGATAGTTTCTTAACTTCAAGTGAAGTGACATAAGATAAGCGAACATACACTTCGACCTCCACAACTTCATCCATCCTGTATCTTTGTTGCTTAAATTTGGTTTTCACTTCTAAGAAACTGGAAATATTAGCCATATCAATTGTAATAACAAAAGGTTCTTTTTCCACTGCCAGCTGCCATAATTCTAATGCCTTGCTTTGACAAGAAGCAGGTAATTCAGGTTCAGGAGCAGGAATAGTAAGATTGAGTACGGAAATCACATTCCTAAATATTCTTTCTTTGTCATTGTTTGGCACTTGTATATGTTTAGATAATGCTTCAACAGAAAGTTGGACATAGTCCTGTATCTTGGCTGCGAGGTAGGCACATTGCAAAGCACGGTTTAAAACATGTGATGCCAAAAACCACCACTTCTCCCTTCTGTAGTCCCACAACATATGGGTCAATAGAGTTAAAGCCTTGCCAAAATCATTACAGTAGTAATATTCATTAGCCATTTCTACCACTAATTGCTTCCTCATGCGCGGGGAGTGGAATGTTTTAAATTGAGTAATAGCACTACCCAAGAAACTTACAATCATTCCTGAGTGATTAAAAATGCGCTCATTGTACTGTAAGGCTAAGATGGCGGCCTGTTCTTTCTGAGGATCATGGGGATCAGCACTCAGTCTACCTGGCCTCCAAGGCCTTTGACCATAGAACTCCACTGTTCCTTCTAGTGGATCTGGAGGTGGAGGATATTGTAGGGCGTCACAGCAAACAGATCGCATCGCTTGCCTTCTCATGGTAGTAAATTGAGCAGCTTGCTGGTAGTAGAAGCCAGGATGTTGAGACTGTATGGCGGGAAGTCCAGCTCGAATAGCCTCATCAAAGAGTTCACCAAAGGCACTGTATTGTCGAGCAATCCATGCATAGTGTTCAAATAGAAGTTCTGTTGGCCCAATTCTACTCTTGTATCGCTCAATATGAGATTTCAGCTGAGCAATGGCATCTCTGGGTAGATTTAATGCAAATAAAAGTTTACACAGCTTGTAATTAATGTAACCAGCCACTGTTCTGATTTCATGCATGTTGGTGTCAACCGTGCGTGTTTCCAATAAGTTATTGTATGCATGCATGTAATGTTTGTGGGCTGTGCTCAGGTCTTGCTTCAGTTCATTCAGATACCCCAACTTGTACTGATGACGCACAAACAAATACTGATGGGTAGTTTTGTTAAGATGATCTCTGTGCTGCTTAATATTTTTAGTCTCATGGTGATAATAATTTTGAGCAATATCATAAAAAGCACTTTCAAGTCGTACTATGTAACCCATCAGGTGGTCACTATGAGGAAGAACAAATAATGATTTAGATTGTATTTCACATGCTGCACAAAGTGCCTGCGCTCTTTCTGCACCCAGCATATACTCCGATGGAGGCGGAGACAGCCCACTCTGCACCACCACCACCGCCACCCGTGTGGAGTGCCCTTCAACGGCGGCTCTGATGGACTGAACCCTAGAAGCGCACTCAATTATTTTTTCATTCCATTGGGGATCATTCCACTCCATGTCATAAAATATAACTACGACAGCAGGAATTAAATTTACTCTTTTATGAATCCAGTTCTTTTTCAAAATTCCTTTTGGTATGTACCATTCGTAGGAGTTTCTTTTGGGCTTGACAACAGGAAATTCAAACGTGTTGTTAAGTAACTTAAACCGTACAGAAGCGCGATCGGCTCTTCTGTTATTAGAAAACGCGTCCCATATCGCCTTGTGGACTGCATTATTTATGGTGTCCAGCCCGGAAAGACCAATTAATGCTAAGGGCTTAAGTATTATCTCTGGTGGAAATTCCGTACTGTCGCTCGGCTGTGTCGCCATCGCCGCACGGAAAACTATGAAGTCACCGGTATAACAAGCATGGAAATTAATCACTTTTTACTCCATAAAACAAGCAAATACGCAAACTAAAGTCTTAAAATTTAACACCCCATCACAGATCTTTACTTTTAGTAAATTGCTATATTAATGTTACAATTGTCAATCAAGTCACGATTGTCATTGTCAAGTTTCCATGTCAAGTAGTGATGGGACTCGAGTTGCTTTTTACTCGAGTGACTAGAGTCATTTTTTTCTTACTCGGACTCGAGTGAAATTTTTGACAACCCGAGTTGCGAGTGACTCGAGTTGACTCGAATTACGCGGGACTCGTAACCATTTTGTTGGTTTATACTAAGTGGAGTAAGAAATTTTTACAGCATTTTCAGTTAAATTTGTTATCTTTTTAAAAACGCACTATTTCTGTTCTTTTGTAGAGTTTATTTAAGCTTCGTTTAAGTTGATTTTATTAGCAAAATTGTGTAAGAACATAATCAAACTGTCCATATTTGAATCTCATGAAAATTACTTGTAAGAATTTATTAAAATGGATTAGAACTTATTTATAGTACACTATAAAATTTCAACTAATAGATGATATAAGAGGTTTCTTGATTATGTAGACAGGTTTAGTTTAAAGGAAAACACTAATTTTCCACATTTTGTACAGATTTTTTGAGTAACTTTTACGTTAATGCGAAAATAATTTCTTTATATTAAATTAACATTGTTTTATTGGTTTTAAAATTTTGGTTCCTTGATTTTTATATTTCGAGTGACTCACGTCTATAAG